TGACTGGATTGCCTACATATGTAGAATTGCTCGCAATGTTTCGTAATTATATACTTTTGTTGAAAAAGTATGAATAAAATCTCTTATTAGTTAGATGTGATGTAGATGATAAACTTATATAAGATAATAGAACTCCTATTATCAATTTATAAGTGATATTAGTTTATTAGAGCGTCAAATCGTTCGGAGTCATGGAGTAAAAAAAAAATATTTAAGATAGGATGGAAAATACAATAATCTAATCTTATCTTGACCCATAAAAAAATTCAAGAGCACCAAAGTGAAACGAAAATAGACAATAACTATATTTTTCGTCCTATCCAATCGTAAGATAAAAAGAATGAGAGCCCCACTCCACCTATTTCTCAACTCTCCTACCTAACAAAATAGTAACCGCAGGGTATGTGGTTTCACTTATAAGAATGCCACGGCTTATTATTTTCTATTATGGCCAGACATAGGCTGAGACAAATGGTTTTGTTTATTTGTGTGCAAATTATTTGCAAAGAAAAACGTAATTAGAAAGCAAAGACAAGAAGCTATATAGCTTAACTTTGAAGTTAAAATTTGGTTTCTTAGTACTTATTTCTACACGTGCCACTTATAATCTATAGACTCTATCAAATGAATACCTAACATCTTTTAACTAAACTTTCCAAAACTTTGTGGATGAGGTCGAAAATTTTTAGCTAACGTCAATCAATATCAAACATGTTCGAATAATCGAACCAGCTTCATGTTGTTGCTTGGGTCATTTGGGAGGTTTGCAAAATTATTGTTGGTTAGTTTCTTCAATCAACAGATATATATTTATGTGACAGGTGATTTAACTTGGATGCTAGGTATTTCAGTCAAGCCCGATCCTGGGCCGAGGCCAATGGGGCCCGTGTCTCAGGCCCAAGACCATAGGGGGCCTAATTTTGACCCAATATCTTTTATTTTTATTTTTATTTTTATTTTTTAGCAATGCCTACCTGCCGGCCCAAAGGGCCAAAAGCAATTATCCAACAAGTTCACAATCCATTTACCCAACCCAATTTACATATCCATTATCCATAATCCAATCCAATTAACAAAAAATTCCCAAAATCTGATTTTGAAATACAATAAAAAATTTCCAAAATCTGAAATACAGCAGCCTGCTTGACATGCTCGTCAGTCGTC